TTTTCAGATTTTAGTCCAAAAAGATAAGGAATGAACCTAATATTTGTATTCGTTCACCATTTTGTGCTGCTTGGGAATTGCGTTGCAGCATCGGTGGTGAGCGGTTGACTCTTGTGGATAGCGGATAGCAGCGGATTTTTATACAAGTGCAGTGGTGACGGTAGTTTTGCTAATTTAATACTTTTGTGTTTAAATTTTTGGTTCAAGTTTATACGATCAGATTTTTGTGTTTTCTGACGTGTGTATTAATTTTGAGTGGTTCCTGGTAGCTGCAGCTTCCTGAGCTTTGCTTTTTGTGCTGTTTGGGTGAGTTTCTTGTGGCGAAAAATTTTCATACTTGGCATAGCGGTTTTTGTATAAAAGATGGCGGACGCTCAGGCGTCTGGGATGGCGTCCAAAATGGCGTGCGCATCTTTTAAGAATGCGCAGGCCAATTTGGGCAAAATCGGGAAAACTAGGAAGAAAAAGACTTTTGGCTCAGTCTCCAAGAGACCTAAGGGCGATTCTAACAGATTGGTGGAGGAGTTTAGTGATTCGAGTGAAAATATGAGTTGTGGCGAACTTCCCCCACTCAGCGGCATGCTGGTTAAGAGGGGCTCGTTAGCTAGTGTGGTACAGTCTGATAGTGTCCAGACGAATATTGAAAACGCTTTTACAGTAGTGGAAAATTCATTGGGTTCGTCCGATTTTTTGAATAGTAATGTTGGTTGCGGTTTGGATAGTGCTCAGTACAGTGCTGGTGGCCATGTTAATCATTTGAATGCAATGGCGGCTCAGGTTAGCGCTGACTCTGCTAATCAGGGGTTTTAAATACATCCGAAAGTAATAAGTTCAATCAAAATGAAAGTCAGAGATATAATGTGGATTTTAAGGGAGAAGCAGTTGTTCTTATGGATGCGTCTAAAAGTGGTTTATTTGAGAATAAGGGGGTGAAGAACGGCCTTTTCCTTTTCGGCAAAATTCGGAAGTTAAATATAAGTGGTCTGAAAAACATTCTTGCCATAGGAAGGTCCTTATTTAAGGTCTTCTTTTACTCGGTTAAAGATGCAAACGCAAGTCTGACTAACAATGACTTCAAGAATATGGGAATTAGAGTCTTTATTCCCAAAAGTTTTTTTGAGACCTATGGTGTGATCAGACAGGTACCTCTTGACTTTCTAGAAAGTGAAATATTTAACAACATTCAGTCGGACATTCCGGTGTCATCGGTGTCTAGAATAACTAGGAGAGATCCAAACAACAAGGAGAATTTTGTTCCTACTTTTTCGTTAAAAATTGGCTTTGAAGGAAATGTTATACCGGAGTCGGTCAGAATTTTCTGTGTCGGGTTTAGGGTGAATCATTTCTTTCCCAGGGCCAAGCAATGTTTTAAGTGTGGGCGTCTCGGCCATACGAAACTTTCTTGCAGGTCAAAGAACCGGTGCATAGTCTGTGGCAAGGAGGAATCTTGTCAGGAAAAATGCAATAGTACTAACCCTAAGTGCATTTTATGTGGTAGTAATGACCATTTATCGTTCAATAAAAATAGGTGTCCCAGCTGGGAGAAAGAAAGACAGGTCATTGAGATCATGACGGTGAAGAAGTTGTCTAAGCGTGAAGTGTTTGATAGCTACAGAAATGTGCTCGAAGGGAATAGTTTCTCAGTACTGGCCGATTATGATGAAATGTTCCCAGCTAGGGTGGGACAGGCCGAAGTGAGGCAGAATAACGAAGGTGTAGTAAATAGGAGTCTAACCAGGAGAAAATACAACGTGGTTGCCAGAGCAGCAATTAACAAGAGCAGTGAGATCGGCAAAAAGGTTCAGCAGGCCAGGATTATAGAAAAGTCTGTGCCGGTGTATGAAAGTCCCAAGTGGGAGAGAGTGAGTGAAATTGAAAAACTTCTCAGTGAGTTGTCCGTGAAATTCAATATTGATGCTGAGGAGCCGATTTTGAAGGTGTTGGGGAATCTAATTAAAACTAACGTAGATGATAGACTTGTTGTAAATAGAAACAAAGATGACAATAAAAATTCTTCAATTTAATTGTCAGAGTCTGAAAGCCAATAGAGATTATATAGACTTTTTCATTCAGCATAATGAGATTGACATAGTGGTTCTACAAGAGATTTTCTCGTGCGGTGATATTAGTGAGGGCCATAAACTTATAAATTTTAATTTGTTATCAAAGTTCAGGGCAGATGGCTACGGGGGTGTAGCCATTGGAAGTAGGAAAAACTTACGCTTACAGAAAATCAGATACAATTCCAACTATGACATTGTTGTGGCTAAAACCACAAGCTTGCTTCAAAATTTTATTATAGTTTCTGCTTATTTTCCACCGAATTTAAACAAACATCTCTTTGACTATGAAATTAGTCGTTTATTGCTGTTTTTGGAGGGACGCGAAAACATCCTACTGTTGGGGGATTTCAATGCTAAGACCAGAAGATGGGGTAGCCCAAAGGACCTTCCTAAAGGTAAAATTCTGCTCGATGCGATTCGTAAGGCAAATTTCAAATGTTTAAACGATGGTAGTCCTACTTTCGCTACTAGCAAAAATTGTCCAGGCAGCCTTTCAGTCTTAGATCTTTCTTTTACTAACTCGAACTGTCAGCTTATGTGGAAGGTGGTCCCTGTTTTTGTCGGGGGCAGCCATCACTGGCCAATTATTATAGATTTTCCAAACGTTGCGAGCAAACCGGTTCCGTTCGTTCAAAAGCGAAAACTTAACTCGGTGCTGGCTAGAATTCACTGTAATGAGGGGGTTGATGGTATCTGCGAGGCCATAAATAAGGAGATTAAAGGAGCCACGATTGATTTAAACTCTGTAAAGGGTTCCCTCAAAGCGTGGTGGAACGAGTCATTAAAAAAACAATTTCGCCTGCTGTCGGCGTGCAGGAAGAAAGCGAGGCTGACGAACAATGTTAGAGACTTTGAGGATTTACTTAATATGGAAGAGGAGTGGAAAGCGGCTGTAAAAAAAGCAAAAGCGGACTGCTATCGGGCGAAAATTAGTGAGTTAAATGAATACCCGAATACTACAGATGCATGGAGGTTCGTTAATAGTGTTAAGGGGACTCGTAAAAGGGTTCCATGTTGGCCCAGTGATGAGCAGGCTCAATATTTAGACGTATTAAAAAACCAATGCGCAGTGCGGACCGTTGAAGTGGGTAGGGACTGTCAGGTCAGCGACAATGGGTGTATGGACGAGTCGGGGTTAGAGTTTTCGGTGGAGACGTTTGACAGCGTTTTGAAGAAAATGAAGAAATCGGCGGGGGGCTTGGATGGCGTAACATTTGGTATGCTGAAAGGGCTGCCGGTAGACACGAAGGAGGCTTTAGTTCACGATTTGAGAGGCATTTTCTGGAGAATAGAGTTAGAGAGGAGTGGAGGAAGATCAAGATCGTACCTATTCCTAAGCATGGGAAGGATCTTAATGATATTCAGAATTTCAGACCTATATCGCTTCTTTCAGTGTTTGTGAAGAGTATCAACATGATTATAAAAGAAGAGCTAATGGAATGGGCGGAAAAAAATAACGTGTTTCCGGATGGCTGTTTTGAATACAGAAAAGGGAAATCGGCGACAATGTGCCTGAATGAGTTCATTTACTGGTCCAGTAAATTTAAGAAGTGTAAGAAAAAAGTTTTCGTGTGTGTTTTGGATATTTCCGACGCGTACAATCGTGTCAGCATCGACAAGTTAGATTACAGGTTAAAGGTTTTAGGAGTCGATAACAGAATTCGTAGTTGGGTTATAAACTTTTTCTCCAGAAGAACTCTTGTGTTAGGAAAGCATTCAGTTGAGGTTTCAAATGGACTACCCCAGGGGAGCTGTCTGTCACCGCTGCTTTTTAACCTTTATACTGCAGGGCTCCACAGGTTGAATGATGATAGCTCGTTGATGTTTCAGTTTGCGGATGATTTTGCGTTCATCTGTTGTGGTAATACTGAGCTGGAGGCTATAAGTGCCCTTGAGGGTAAACTGATGGCTTTCAGTAATAGGTGCAAAAGTCTAAATCTTGGCATAAATGTGGAAAAAACCAAATTCATGTGTGTAAACAGCAATAGGTTTAGCTCTTTTTCTTTATGCTTGGATGGTAAAGAAGTTGAACAGGTCCGCTCGCTAAAGTGGTTGGGGAGGGTAATTACTGCGAGTACATCGGTAAATAATCAGGTTAGCAGACTAAAAAGGATTGCGGTACCGGGTAAAAATCTTATCAAATGTTTAACACCTATTAAAAGCGGTTTGGTGCCCAAAGTAGCTTTAAATTTTTATAAGTCCTTTGTGAGAAGCAAGGTGGAATACGCTAACTCCACTTATGTGGATGCACCTATTGGGTACAACAAAAAGATACAAGTCATTTTGAATGATACTCTTAGGCGGTGCTTGGGGCTTCCTCCAAGTGCTCCGGTGCATGTGAGGTATGCTTTGGCAGGCGAGCTTCCCCCTCTGAAAAGAGCGGAATGGTTGGCTGCCAAGGAGCTCAGCAGACAGTGGCTTGTAAATCCTCGCCTCAGGGATGACCTGATGAGTGGGAGTGTCTCTAAATCCAGTTATTGTTTTGTTTACGAAAAGCACAAAGCCGTTTTCAATCTTCTTGGTACTGATGTTTCTTTTTGTAGGCATCGTAACCTCCACGTGGAGCTTTCGGAGCTGGGTACTACCAAAAATAATGTTAGTACGGTACAGTTGAAAAGTATTTTTGGCTCTAGACTAAGGGAACTGCAGAATAGTGGTTTTTACCTCCTTGCCACGGATGCGTCGGTTTCTGATGGAAGGGTGGGTTTCGCAGTCCATGATCCTCAAAAAAATTTGTCATTCTTATATAGAGTAGTGGGTGATTTTTCCTCCACCTTCGGGGAGCTTCTAGCAATCAGGCAGGCGGTTCGGATGATGGTCAAGTTGGAGTGTAAGAAAATTGCCATTCTTTCAGATAGCATGGCGGCGTTGAGATTAATTAACAAGAAACGAACGACTAATCATATTGTTGCGGAGATTCAAAATTTGATGCACAATTCAAAGTTTGAAGGCATAAAGCTCAGTTGGGTTCCCAGTCATGTGGGGTTAGTGTACAATGAGAAAGCGGATTTAGCGGCAAAGGCTGCAGTGAGAAATGGACAGGACATGCATATAAAGTTTACGGTTGAGGAGGGGCTTAGAAGAATTCGGCAAGCCATTTGGCGTGAGTGGGAGAGTGAGTTTTCGGAGATTTGTCAATCCAAAGGTAAAGTTTTTGCTGAAAATGGAGGTAAGGTAACTGACTCCCCTTGGTTCTGCGATAAAAAATGCAATTTTTCCGTTCAGGAAATAAAATTAATAAATAGACTCATGTGTGGACACACATATGGAAAGATTTTTTTAAGTAAGTTTAAAGCTAACATCACTGATGCCTGTTTATGCTGTGGGGTTAGAGAGACAAATGACCATCTTATTTTTGTATGCCAAAAGTTTTCCGTTTATTGTTAAGTAATAGTCGTTTTAGGGAAAATGAAGAAAAACAATTTCAACCAGTCAATTATTAAAAAAAAAAAAGAGAAATTTTAACGAAAGCAAGGAAAAAAAAAAAAAAGTATGAGACAAATATGTATGCATTTTTGTTCCGAATGCTTTAGAATGTAGTCATATGATTAAATTTTTCTATTCAATCAGATATGGAATTCGGCACGTACGATTGTGCATTTAAAAAATAATAATAATAGTAAAAATAATTATATTAGTAATAAAATTAGAGATATGTATGACTGGTTTGGAGTATGGATGTATCTACCTCATTGTAGTTAAATTTTCCATATGTACACGTATTACGAGTTTGTTGTTAATTGTAAAGATGCCTAAATTAGTGTTTTTTCTGCAATCAAGTGCCTTTGATTCTGCTGGTACAACTACATTTTATTAATTATAAGATAGCCGATTCACTTTATTATTGGCTTAAAAAATGAATTACTTCTGTAGTTTTTGGTGATTTTGTACTCAATAATTTTTTAATTTCCTCATGTATACGAAAATTCATCTTATAACCTGTACTTACATGAGTACCTGATAGGTTACAAACCTTTTATTCTTGTATAAAAGGCAATCAAAAAAAAAAAAAAAGGCTGATAGAGAATATTGTATTTATTGTATTATAAGGTACGTAGTACGATAGGTTAATTTGGTGATCAATCACTTTTGAATTTGTGCAGTTTAAAGTTTTTGCTTGGTTTAGTCTCAAAGACTATTTTAGTTTGTATTTTACTATCTTTATTAGAAATTAATTTTGTGAGTCACCCTGCATGCTTGTTCGACGTGGGATTGAATCATCACTGGAACCGGCTCGTCGGGTCACCGCTCACTAAAAGCTTCGCATTACAATTAAAATCTTCTTGGACAACCTGGCTCTTGAGGACATCATAACAGTCCTTGCCAATTTTCTATACGCGTTTTTGCGTTTCTAAACAAAAAAAAAAAAATAAAATAGTGAGGTTTTTACTTGGCATCCTATCATTAAATTAACGTATTAACAAAGAAAATGACGCTTCCGGCTGGCTGTGGCTTCATCGCATTCGGTACACCATTAGCGATATTTGTTTTCACAATAGCAAATGATTCCATACGAATAATTATCCTCATCGCTGCTGCCTTCTTTTGGCTACTAGCACTTCTGGCATCTGCCTTGCTGTGGTTTGCTCTGGTACCATTGAGAGATTACTTGTGGTTCGGTGTAACATTTTCAGTGGTATTTCAAGAAGGATTTCGCTACATTATCTATCGTATTCTGAGACGCACTGAACAAGGACTTCAAGCGGTATCTGATAATCCGGGTATAATCGAAAATAAGAATATTCTGGCTTATGTGTCAGGTCTTGGATTCGGTATAATATCTGGCATGTTTGCATTGGTCAATTTACTTGCGGATTTGGTGAGAAGACATTTAAAATTCTGGATATACGTATATATTTGCAATAATGATTGATCGATTTGGTTTATAGTCGGGTCCAGGTACTATGGGTCTTAAAGGCGGATCGGAAGTGTTCCTAATAACTTCGGCGATACAAGCTCTCGCAATGATACTACTTCATACTTTCTGGAGTGTTATATTTTTCAATGCTTTTGATATCAATAACTACTATCATATAGCTTACGTCATCAGCACGCATCTCTTCGTATCGTTAATAACATTACTCAACACACAAGGGATGTACGCAGCCACATTATTGCCCACCTACATAATATTGTTAGCGTCAGCGGTTTTGGCATTTAAAGTAGCCGGAGGAAGCAAAATTTCGCTTGTTCGATTTGTAAAGTGTCAATGAGACGAGAAGATATCTGTATTAATCTATACTGATGTATTTAAACACTGTTGGCATTGACTGTAAATGTAACTGCAATCAATTCATTTAGACTGCTTAGGCGACCAAGCTGCTAAACTAATTTTTAAGATGATCAACTTTACTCATTTATTTTCCGACTTTATTTCGATATGAAAAGACAGTGTTAATAACGTACAATAAAGGAAGCCATGATAATTCATATATGTGGTTAATATGTTTAATGCTTATGGAAAATACTGTGCTTTGCGCACTGTTATGCCATAATCTGCAAGGGCGGGGGCCAAATCCTCCATAGTCAACGTGTATTTGCGATCTTTGGTTGCCTTTGGACCCTTTGTAAAAATTGAGAAGGCCTAAATATTTAGAAGATAAATTTATTTTCCCATTCTTACCGGTGTGTGAGTTCCTTGTGCAACGTTTTGGCTGTTGCAACGAGTTTTACATTGCTGCAGTGCATCATTGGCGACATCGGAAATAAACTTTTGAGTAGCTACCGATATCAAGCGCACAATGCGGGGATCATTTGATTCAAATCCGGCAGAATTTAGATAGCAAGCTGTCACTGCATCAGGCACTGTTGGTACATAATCCCCCAGTTGTAACATGAAATCGCTCAACTGTTGAACGACTGCACGTTCTTCTGGCGCAGCTGTGACACCTGAACCACCAGCAATCGAGCTGGACGAATGTGGACGGAAGATGCCGAAATTTGTGCCGATCATTTTAACTTGGTTTATAATTTAAGCAAATCTAGGTATCACAATAGTCTCCAATGTTTTCAATTCACTTGTTTACTTGACATTTCAGTTCAATTCATTTGTTTACATCAAATGTCAGTGCCAGTTTCAGTTATGCATGTTTACTTGTTCCAAATCCGTTCCGTCTTGAAAATAAAGGGACTACATGAAATATTTTGCAGAAAAACCAAAAAACAATTATCGACAAATTTCGATTCATCGACAAAAAAAAACTTTTCTGATTTTACATTCCTTGAGCTGCTACAAAACTATCGATCGAGGCTCATCAAAGTTGGGCTGGTATACAAGTTAACAGCTGATACACAGGGCTTGTTCGAGTCGGAATCACAACCGCAGTGTTGCGCGAATTATTAGCTTCGTTCCCCACGCTTTCCGGGCTGTTCCGGTAATTAGAGCGTAAAAATAAGTTACTCTCTTACAAGTGTCAAAAATGTGCCAACACGCGCCAAAAGCGCCCAGAGCGTGAGGCACGCAAAAAACCACATTTCGTGCCCGGATTCAACATATCAGCTCTAAACAATGATTTTACATGTGCGGGCTCGTGTGGAACAAACCTGTTAAAGTACCACGTTCGGTGTCAATTTCTAGTAACGTTTTATCATTTTGGAAGTTGCAACAGTCTTGCAGATTTTCATCAGCGCTGCAGTATTGCCGCTTTTATTACGTGCCTCGAACAGGCCCACAATATTGTGGTGTGTGTATATTGATCATCTGAGTGTGGTTATCCTGATTTTTTTTTAATTTTAACTAAAATTGTTAATCTTCCTCCATAAAAACTGGGCATTAATCACGTAACTTTGAAACGATACACTTTCAAACGATACTGGCAAAATGACGTCGTCAAAACACTGATTTATGCCACGGTGCAGCGAACAAAGGTGGCGCCGTCAGTGGTACCGCTACTTTGGTTTTGCCGATTTTGACAGTTGTGGTAACTTGTAAATAAACCTTTGTTTACAAATCAGCGAAAGAGAAATTTGAATTATAAGTGAAAAATCAGTTTAAATTGTGTGAATTTGCAATTTTGAGTTGAAGACTGCGTAAAAACGAATACAATTAAGTGCTGTGTGTTAAATTGCGACAGGCGTCAAGATGCAAGAAGCGTAGATGCAAGTGTAGCGCTGGGACGAATCGGTGCATTTTGTGTACATAGGGAACGGCAAAGCCGCTCTCAAAATGTTTCCCTATTATTATATTAACAGAATTTTCTCACAATGATTTTGTTTCTGCTCCACGCAGCCTCCATTAGCAAGTTAACTAATCAATCCCGCAGAGATGCTGCGGTTTTCTGCAGCAGCCTTAATTGCAAAGCAATGGAGTGCACTAAAATGTTCACTGTTCTCTAATAGATTAGGTGAAAAATGCAATATTATCGCATTTAGCAAAATTAAAACACGTTCTTTTCGCTCTATTCTTTGTTTACTTGTGGTACACAAATGTCAACGCCCAGGACGGCGCAATCTTGTATTCTATCATTCTTGGATTTATGCATTTGTGTTGCTGTTACGTGTTACTATTACTGCGCATCGGCGACCGAACTAAAAATGTTTTGATTTTACACAGACAGTGTGAGAGACCGTCTGTGCAGACATAAACGGCGTCAACATGGCAGCTAGAATATCAAAAAAGTTCGATTTTGGTTCAAATGTCCCGCAAACGGCTTGTCAAACCTGCAATCACGACCACACAACTCAAATACCTTGAACCAAAGGGATATTTTTCTTGCATGGTCGAGCCGCTTTTGTGGTGTATTTGTATAAACAATCGATAGTACAAAACAAAATCGAATGATTGAAAAAAATTACTCATTCCTGCGAAGATTTTCAAGAAGGGTGAACGTGCAACGTCTGTGTGTCGGAAGCCATTTTGGATTTAATTGCGGTTCTTTCAAACTTTTCACAGAAAAATTTTTTCTTGTGACTGAAATATTTATTATTTAAGAATTTGTGGAAGTATTAGTTTTACCTTAAGTAACAAACATTTTAGTGTTCCTTCCTGCATCTTTTGGTAAATTTTTGCCGGTTTTGGTACGAAATTCAAAGAGGTGAGTGCTTGGCTTTGGTTTTTGATTGTCTGTTTAATTTAAAATGCCAGGCGCTTCGGCGTCGGAGTGGAGCGGTGACCCGGGTGGCTGTGAGGATCCTTTGGATTCAAATGGGTCGCTCGATGGTTTCGCTGTGAAACGAAAACGACGTAGACAGAAAAGAAATAAGGGTAAATCTGATGAAGAAAGCGCGCGGAAAATGCCAGCCTTTCATGGCTTGTTAGTTCCGAAGGGGTCGGTGATTAGCGATATTCTTGCGATGCAAGAAAGTCCATTTCCAAGTTCTAACGTTGGAATTAATGAAAATGGGTCAGTTTTGTCGTTGAGGTCGGAAAATGCTGTGCAAAATGCAGGGGCTGTTAATAAAGTGCAGTCGTACATAACCTCAAATGGTGAGCGTGCTATTCAGGTTGGTAGCAATGACGAACGGTCCCCCATAACTTCCGGAGTTATGGCGGTGGCATCGGGTGGTGTCGAGGATAATATAACCTCAAATACGACAGGTGGTGGCCTGACTGAAAATAATTTGCAGATTGATAGTGGTGCAGGAGTGCTGACAAGAAAAATGAGTGGTAAGGATATTTGTAGTTTTCCAGTGAATTACAAGGGAGCTTTTGCTGTACTATTAGATACATCCAAATCTAGTATTTTCGATAACAAGTATGCAAAAAATGGAGTGTTTCTGTGGAATAAGATTAAAAATTTCGGTATTCAAGATCTAAAAGAGATACGAGCCGTAGGCAGGACGCTTTACAAGATAGTGTTTCTATCAGTAAAAGCTGCGAATGAGTGCTTATGCAATGTGAATTTGATAAAAGCCAACATAAGAGCTTTTATTCCTAGGTCGTTTGTTGAAACGTGCGGTGTAATTCGGTACATACCGGAGGAGCTCTCTGATGACGAAATTCTGGACAATATTAAGTCGGACATAAAGGTGACTTCAGTGTACAGAATAAAGAGACGTGATAGAGAGAACAGGACTAATTTTATACCTACCCAGACAATAAAATTGAGTTTTGAAGGCGATCAATTGCCTGAAAACATACAAATTTATTACACAAATTGTAAAGTTTTGCGTTATTTTCCAGCTGTTAAGCAATGTTTTAATTGCGGCAGACTGGGACACACGAGGTTGGGGTGTAGGTCGAAGACACGTTGTATTCTTTGTGGGACCGAGGGAAAATGTAATGAAAACTGTGTGAACAAAAAATGTATACTGTGTGGGGATTCCAAACACGTTTCAATAAATAGCACTCTGTGTCCGAGGTGGCAAAAGGAGAGGGAGATTGTTGAGGTGATGACAATAAAAAAATTAACTAAGAAGGAGGTGTATGAAACGTATAC